GATTTTTATCATTTTAGGGTGGTTGTGTACACACACTGCCAACACACATTTCAGTTCAAACAACTTGTAAAAGTGCATGTAGCATCATATGACTCCTTTAAGCATCTTATCAGTTTACAAACATCTTAAAAACAGGTAATTCACATATAACTAAGATAACATTAATATCATTAACATTTGTTTGCAAACATCTGATAAATCCTAAAACAAGCTAATTCACATGTAAATGAAATCAGTAGCATCTTTGTTTAAAAATATCTTACTAACATCTCAAACTTCTTAAAAAGAACTAATTCATGGAATTTAAATTATTAATTTGTTCATAAATATTTGCGAAAACTGCTGAATGTTATTCTTACATCCAGCAAGTAATGTTTTAGCAAATGTACTGCTGAATAAATACACAAAAAAGTATTATTTTGTCAAAGAACAGTAAGTAATAAACTAAAACTAAATTAATGACACTTTGACAAAAGTGACTGACCTAGCAGTTTTTAGTAATATTTTAAATAATGAAACAAAATAAATAATAATTTGACAAATGTAACTGCGACCTGAAATGTAAAATACATACATTAATAAATAAATACATAAAAATACACACATAAATGAAAAAAAACAAAAAAACGTATGAAACTGAAATCATCTAATTTATTCATAAACCTCTGATAAGCATCTTAATAAAGAAATTACATTAACATAAATAACATTATAAAACATAACATAACATGACATAAACAAACAAACAGCATTTTAAAGAAATTAATGACTAATAAATAACATTATAAAATAAAATAATACATAATAAAATAACATCACAATAAAATGATATTATAAAACAAATAAATAAATTACTAAATTAATAAACTAACATGAAATTTAAATCATTAGTATCTAATTTGTTCATAAACATCTGAGAAGCATCTTGTAGAAATGATTGATAAAATAAATAAATCAAATCATCTGAGGTCATTAGTGTTTGTAAACCATTACGTATTGCCATTATGTACACACAGAGCAAATGAGTGCAAGAAAGAAACAGGGCAGGGGGCAGAAATAAGGAGAGAGAACTGTAAACAAACTGACCTTTACAGAAAGACGGACACAAAAGAGATGAAAAGATAAAGCATGAAACATGAAGAGATGAAAACAAGGGAGAATATAAAGAGGCAGAATGAGAGGAAAAAGGACAGAACGGAAAGAGCGTGAGCCCAAAAGATCTTCCTCATCTGCAGGCTGGCCACAGAGAGGTTTTAGCCAGTATGAAAATATTGATTCTGCAACTCTGTGGCCCCTGAGGGCTGTGCTGGGTGCTTGTGATGGGGTGGAGGGGATCTGTGTGTGTGTGTGTGTGTGTGTGTGTGTGTGGACGTTTGCCGTGGCAGCTGAATCTCCCCCTGGCCTGTCTGCCAAGGAGCACGTCTGATTGAACACGCCACACTAATACGAGCTGACAGCTAGAGAGAGGTCCACCCTGCCTGCCCCTCTCTACTAATGCACTTTACTGAGCCTGTGTTTGAGTGAGTGAGTGAGTGAGTGAGTGAGTGAGTGAGAGAGAGAGAGAGAGAGAGAGAAATATAGGACGATGCAAAAGGGATGAATAAGACGAGGGACCAATGAAATACCTTTTGAAAATAAATTTTCTGAAGCAAATGTGAGGGGTGTTTGTCCATGTAAAATGCTCTGCAATTATTTTGTTGTGAATGGTTGCTAGGGTGTTGCTATGCTGAGTAGTGTTATTTATGTATTATTTATATACTATTATAGTATTAGTAGCTTTAAATGTTGCATATATTCCGTTTTCATGTTAGATTAAGTTTTAATAATTTTGTTATGTGCTTTTGACTTTTTTTAAATAATTTTTTAATATTTATTTTTAGCTTTAATTTTAGTTTTAGTAATTTTAGTACTTCAATGTAAACTTCTTTTACTTAGTTGCCAAGGGAACATTTCTAGTTTTTTACATTTAAGTTTTTAATATATTATTTATATTCGTTTACACACACATACATACAGTGGGTACGGAAAGTATTCAGACCCCCTTAAATTTTTCACTCTTTGTTATATT